TAGAAAATTTTAGACATAATAATTTTGCATTTTACAAAATTAAGTATTTTATTTTAGCGTTCTTTATCACCACAGGCAAACAAAGTCTCAACATGACACCATGTGAGTAGATGACATATCACTAGATGACACTATCATCTAGTGATATGTCATATATCACTAGGTGATAGTGTCATCTAGTATCATCTAGTACCATATCACTAGATGACACTAGCTCTTAAGATAGTAAAGATCTAATGCTGTGTCTTAACCTCATATGGTATGATAGTTTTAATGTTTTAAGGTAGATTAGAAATCAAAACTAAAAGTGGAAATCATTCCTTACCAACCGTGTTGGATACATTCAATCAAAGACTGCATTATAACAATGGATGTACATACCAACAAAGGTTATAGCAGAATTACTAACTAGAGAAATATCAGCAAATGATTTAGAAAACAATAATGGTGGCATGGACTAAATTTCCTGAATTCTTTAAAATGAAAAATGGCCACAAAATCACATTGAATTTAAAAAGAAACTTTGGTTGAAATAAAGAAGAATGTTGTATTATTTAGTGATTTGCATTATTTAGTGAGGTAAACTAATTGCTTAATAAAAATATGTTGGAAAAAACTCGTTAGAATAAATGGATGGATACATAGATAAATTATTGTCAGTGGGCAAATAACTTGCGTAAAGAAGGTATTACAGCTGATGTGTTTCATTAGTGGAAAAATAATACCAATATCACGCAAAACTATTTCTTTAAATCCACAAATTAATGAAAATGGCTAATTAAGCTTTTGTAGTTGATTGCAAAATGCTTATAACTTGCCATACAATGTTAAATATCCAATCATTTTCCTGATAGGTCGCACAGTTACAAAACTGATTGTTAAAATTACTTTGACAAAGGAAATTTTGTAATGGGAAAAATAAACGACTAACAAAATTATCAGAACGATATTGGCTTATACAGGAATGAGAAGAAATCTGTGATGAAAAATCAAAATGCAACAAGTGTAAAAAAAGGAAATTTTACTCAACAATTGATGGCTCCTTTACCAGCTATTTTTTTTAAGGAGCTACAATGTTCATTTGTTAGGGTTGGTATTGATTTTTCTGGGCCATTTTTTACAATTCAAGTTAGAAGGAAAACCCAACAATAAAAATAATTTACTTGATACCTTGTTTGTAATATACCTTTACTAGGTACTATACACCTTAAGATAAAATACAACTTAGATTATCATTCCTCAATGTCTTTTATCAATTGTTGAACAGAATTACCATTAGAAGTTTTTAGAAACTATAGAACAAATAGGTGTAAGTGGATCTCATGAACTATCTTGTGAACCAATCTTGTAAACTTTTTTTTTTTTTATGTTAATTTATCTTCCCAAAACTTGCTCTATAACTCTATAACTCTGAAACACAAACCACTACACCACTACCGCAAAACTCGTCATCAACTAAGATAAAAGAAAAAGCACTTCAATGTTTCATTAGGACTTAATCTGGGCGGTGTATTTGAAATAATGGTTAAGACAGCAAAACTTGCAGTAACTGCAACAATTGAAAAAGCTGATATTACTGATTAAGAAATTTATACAGTTGTAAGAGTTTATTGAATTGACTTATCAGAGTTTGGATATAAAAGATGATGTTTCACCGACTCCAAATCATTTATTGACTGGGCAAGTTGGAGGACAACTCTCTCCTGAAATAGTTAACTCTACAAACTATTATCATAAAAAATGTTGGTATTGAGTGCAAGAATTAGAACATCATTTCTGGAAAAGTTAGATGCAAGAAAGGCTTCCCTCCTTATCAAAACGGTATAAATGAAACCAAGAAAAACTTTTATATTTAAAGACCAAACTGGATCAGCACATTCAATATGTTGCTGCGCAAATATTTTGCATAGTAACTTTTTGTTATGTGCAAAATTTTGATGAGGATGTTATAATCTATTGTTTCCACTTTAGATCATTCATAAATTTTATTCTCAAATCTGTCTCTAAAATATTATTTTAACGTCTTATCAATTAGATAAAAGTTTTCCCTCTATAAAATGTATCACAAGTAGCAAGCAACCAGGGTTGATATTTGACTGGGGCAGGGCCAGGTTTGTAAAATATAGCCGGGGCCGGGTTTGTGACCGGGGCTGCATAAAGATTTATACATCCTAAAATAAATTTATTTTATTCAAAATTAATGTTGCATTTTGTATATATATGCATATATAAACATCATTATGATCAATATGATCATCATCACCATCATGATCATGAACATGATCATCATATTGTTGATGATCATCATTATCATCATCATAATAACGGTATTTCTCTTATATAAACTTTCTAGAGCATTTTCCTTAACTTAAGCTTATTCATACAATAAGGCTCTTCATGTTTTCTTACTTCTACTAATACCATTTTCTCCTGAATCTAATACCTCACTACATGCTGATACCAACTGATAAATCATGAAAATCAAAATCACAATCTTCTCTGAAAAATAATGTTCGATACAACCTTTTTTTCTAATCTGTCTAAGATTATGACTCCTTTTTTTGTCTTGTAGAGTCACACCACACATCTGATCATCTTCTTTTTTGACAAATACTAGACCATATAATATTTATTTAGTTGATATAAATATGAGTTTATATAAAAATGAAATTTTAAATAAACTTTAGTTTATATAAAATTTCATATTTATATAAACTATAAAAGGATATTGTATGCCAGCATCTTAATAAATAGCAAACATATATGTTTATATCCATAATATGTATGCATAAAGCATATCTTTGAAGCTTTAATTCCTTCTGCAATAAAAGTTTGAAAGCATTTATTCCTTCTTTTTGATTTTAAGTCAAGCCTCATTCTACTCCACATTTTTTACCATCTTGAGCAGTTGCTTTATTTAACATTATTCATTTTTTTCATCTTTTTTACAACAACATTTTTATTGAGAACAAATATCCTTTTATTATTCCAAGAATCCAATTTAAAAATCCTGTCTAACATTAAGCTCTTTTATTCTCAATTTACTAAATCTTGTACCTTACCTCAGATGTTAGGTTTTAGAGACTTTTGGTAAATCTTCAATAGTATCATTAACTAAAGTAAGTCTAACATATAACCTCTAATTCATTGGTCTGATCTTTTTTACTTCTCCCCGGAATAAGGCAGAGTTATTTGCAAAGAAATCTTACACTAATTTGACTCTTGAATATAATGGCCATATTCTTTCTGCCAATTAAACAGATTAACCAATTGTTAAACATTCAAATCACTCTGGCTTCCGATACTAAAGTTATTTCTCAATTAAACACTTCTACAGTCTTGAAAAAGTGCTCTTCAGAACTCACTTTAATTTTTGCAAAGTATTTAAAAATCTAAATAAGTGGTTCCAATTTTTCAAAACTCTATCCAAAAAACTAATTAAAACAAAAAATTATTTCTTTACAGTATTAAAGTTATTCTTGAAGGCCTACACTCAGCTTTATTTCAAGTATTTTTAAGGGTACCACAAGGTTCTATCTTTGCTCCTGTAGTGTTTCTCATTTACAATAACAATCTTCATGAAAATTTTACATCCTAAACTGACTCTAATTGCTGAGGACTCAACTTTATACTCTTGTTGTGACTAAAAACCTTTACTATTTTATAGCTTAGAAAAAGCAGCCAGTTTTTTATCAGATCTCTCTTCTGTTACAGGCTAAGGCTTGCATTGGCATCTGATTTAAGCTCTGGACTTAAAATCCAAAATTTATGTTAGACAATAAAACTCATTTATTTGCTACAAAAAAAATATTGCAATATTGTTAGCATTCCTATATTAATGAATAACAACTCTCTAACTCTCAGACAAAACCTAAAAGCACATTGTAAATGTAACTAGACCTGCTTTATCTGCTAAGTTTAAGCCACTCTCCCATTGTTGTAGAGTTGTATTTTTTTTCTTTTTTCTACAAATACTATTATGGCAAATGCTCAAACAAGCTATCACATCTATTCCAATAAACCAAAACTCATTCTTGCTTGGCTTCTTATTCAACAAGTTGCATCCTTTTACTGTATCTGCCCCTTCATGCTATAAAAACTTTTAATAATCCAGACTTTTTCCTTGCACACCAAAAATACCTTTTAATACTTACCCATCTTTATGTTTTCTTTTTTTATACAACCTAAAAGTCTTCAGTTAACCTTTACCCGTTTTATAACCTATCCTCTATCTAACTCATAACTTAATAGTGATTGCTTGCAATCTTGTTGGAAGTAAATTAGAGTTAAAAAATATATAAATATATATCATAATTTAACAAATAGTAAATGTAAGTATAAAATTATAATATATAAAGTATTGTAAATTTTTTTCTAGCCCCAGTTATTAACCCCTGCTAAATCTTATAATTTTTATGGGGCTGGATATGCAAAATATCTTATTTTCAGACAAGGACATGGCCCCAGTCACTCCCTAACCACAAGTCATTTGTCAAAATTAAAGAGTTTTTTTTTTAACAGCTTTCTCTAAATCATTTTGAAACATTTCTTTTTTATGTTGATAAGAACTTCATATTATCAGAAAAAGGTTTTTTTATATTTTAAGGCAATAATCAGGCAAATCATTCACAAATATCAAAAAAAATATTGTTTCAAGCAAGGATCAATGATGTAATTATCTACTTATGCAAGAATATGGTTTACTTTACTTTTCTTCTTTTTAGATTGATTTTTGAGAATCAGAACCCCATTCATTAATTCCAGGATTTATAACTGATTTAATGGGGTTGAATGCAGACATGTATTTGAATATTTTCAATAAGGAAAATTATTTTCGTACTTTTATCTCTTTTTGAATATGAAAATCAAAAACAAATTTTCGAATTGCGATTATGTAGAACGAAGGGGTTTTAATAATCAATATTAAATTAAAAAAAGTATTATTGTTCAATAAAAACATTTAAAGAAATAAACTTTTATATAAAACATTAAAAACTTACATTAAATGATTTTAAGTAAGTGAAAAAACGTAAAATGCCTATCCAAACAAGCACCACTCCAAGGCCAAGCAGCACACTGCAAATATTGTAAAATCGAATATCCTATAGCAATACAATATATATATATATATATATATATATATATATATATATATATATATATATATATATATATATATATATATATATATATATATATATATACATATATATATATATATACATATATACATACATATACATACATATATATATATATATATATATATATATATATATATATATATATATATATATATATATATATATATATATATATATATATATATATATATATATATAGTATTGGCCATTAGTAGCAATCCATCATGTTACTTTTGTATGAATATAAGTTTAAAATTAAATTTTTTAAATACTAAATGTGATTTTTCCCTCCTTTTTTTTTTTTTATTGAAATAAAAAAAATATTCACAATACAAATTTATTATAAAATAATAAAATTTAAAAAATTAAAAACTAAAATGTTGAAATTAAAACAAGTGTTAATTTGTATGTGGCCAAAATAAACAAACCACAAATTCTCTATGTAATTAAAATATGGACAGCTGGCAAACCAAGACTCAATATAATAGTTTTAATATTGTTTCCTTTAAAAAATATTAAAACCAACATAAATAGCAGTATGAAGCATTATCTTGTTGGAAGATTCCCATATCTTTTGGGAAAATGTCAACAGAAGGCATTAAATAATTATCCAATATGTCAAAATATTTTTGAGAATCAAGCCTTCCATGAAGTTTTTTTCATCTCTGAAAAGAACGTTGTGCCATGCCATGAACGTTATGCTCATAGACTAAAATTTAAGAGCTAAACACCAGTTTTTTCTTGTTTTCTGATGTTTTATCAATAGATATTTTTGTTTGTTTTTCGCAAGCAGCTCGCCACATTTAATTGTGTTTTTGTAGTACTCTTCTAATTGTTTGAGCACTAGCAACAACATCAGAAGCTTTTGTCATTTTCTACTAAGATTAGTAGATAATAAATTTCTACTTTTTCACTACGCGAATAAGTGTGCATTTATTTCTTTTATTTGAAATGCTGAGTCTTCCAGAACATGGAAGATTTTGAACTGTATTGTATCTTTAATATAGACTGATTATTCTGCTAAAAGTGGCATGTGTTTTGTTAAAATATTTTGCAGGTTCTCCCATTGAGATGTTTTGTTCATTCATTATTATGATTTTTTATTTTGTTATATTATCAACAATTTTTCAATTTGATTCTTTTATTGCTGAAATATTGTAGTTAATTAGATAATTTTTCTATTTTATTTTTTACGCAAATTTTTCAAATATTTATAACAATTTAAATAAATTTTAAAAAATATTTATGAATAGTTGGCAAAAAAGTACAATGTTATTATAAAAGAAAAATGAAATTTTGAAGGAAGTTTGAAATAATAGAGTGGATTGTTAATTTTGGCCATAACAAATATTTTAGATAATGAGATATATGACAAAAAAAAGAAATATAATTTTCACATCAAATATTATTTTTATGTGCATCTATATTTATTTGAAAGAAAATAGAATGCTCATCAATATACTTTTTTTATGTTTAAGAAGTTGCTGTTTACAGACAAAGCTTTTGAACGTTGATCATCAAAATACTTCTTTCTTGCTTGTTTGCTGTAATCTAATAATAAATCTTTTGTTATTTTAACTTTGTGAATCATAAACCCATAAAATGTGAGGTAATCTTGGATTGAACATAAATTATTATGGTGTTTTAGACTTTATAGACTTTAATTGCTGCTAAATCCTCGTTTAACTTGTCTATGCGAAAAAATGAGGACAATTTAAAAAAAAATACACACACTTTTCTGGATATTCAACCATAAATAATAGGGAAATAGACACCAGACAGTGAGCAACCAGTGAAGACAAAGGGCTTTTCTTAACAATATGAGTACACTTTGAGACAAGAAAATCATATATTTTCTTTTTGATCTTGTCAAACTGAACATCAGTAATGTTTCCCTTACTCTTAAGTTGCTGGAGATCATACTTCAATGAAAAACGAACATCAATTTGACTGGTTGAATCCCGGTTTGCACAATTAAACAAATCTAATTTTAACAATGACATTGTAGTTTTGGCATTTAAAAGAACATTTAATCGAATGAGCTTCACAACAAAAGATGGGTAGTAGTTCTTCAAGTTTCACCACCAGAAAAGGAGTCATTGGTTTATCTGTTAGAAAAAAAAACTAGAAAAAAACAAAACAGCAAAATTGAAAATAACATTTATGATTTTTTCTCAAAATTTTTAAAAATATTATGAAAAGAATATCTCAGAATATTTCTATACTTTTGTAATAAAACAAAATATATTACATAAAGAGCAATAAAATTGCATCTGGATCAAATATTACATACAAAGGAATGTATTTAAACTGCCGCTAATTTCTTCAAAAAACTTCAACTTTAAAGGAACTAAAACTTCATTTGTTCGAGCACTTAAATGTTTAAAGCTAGTGTTTTGCCCTGATTTACCAAATCCAGGTTGCTTACTCTTTGGTAAAGACTTTCTGTAGTCAACAA